CAAAGGTTGAAAACCTAAATTGTCTGTTCTGATGCGCTAATCAAATTATTCAATATTTTCTGGTGCTGTTTGAAATATAAACTGACATGTATTTATACAATAATTCACGGATTGATTAGCAATCTTTGTAAATTAACAAATTGAATGTATTATTTATAGAATTGATTCTAGCAAATATATTTCGAAATATTAACTAATAACTAAGTGAATGAGACCACGAAGCAATGCTATAGACCAGAGGGTTATGACTTCCTCCAATTATTATAGAATCTACCAACCCATTGTGTGTGATACGATATATCTCCTCTGGAAATAGCTTAAAATGCATAACGAGAGGCTTGCCAAGTGCTTTTAATTATAATAATTCAACTGTCGATAGTAGCAAATTATTTGTCCCTTTTAGGAATATATGGTCCTCAATGCTCTTCAACTTCGTACTATATTTGACCTTTTTAACATTTTTTTATTCGAGCGTCACTGCTGAGTGTTTGTAGACGAAACGCGCGTCTGACGTAAATATAAAATGTCAATCCTGGTATCTATGATGAGTTTATTTGTCCCACGAGATATGGCGAAGGAAACTGTTTATCATTGTATTCTATACATAAGTTCCAGATGTAGTCGTATGTATAACATGAATTTTCTACTTACACACACACACATATATATATATATATATATATTATATATATATATGATCAGGGTTTCCACATGAAGATGTCGAAACAAATGAAACGCAAATCACGTTATAAAGCATTTTAGAGGTGACAGATGGAGATACTTTTTTACAAGGATAATGTTTATTATTTATTGTTTCGTTTATTCCCCATAGTAGGTCTAGTGTTTCTCAAACCTTATTTATATATTTATAATGACTTATGCATCTTATATCTATACATACATACATGTCTCAAGGTACTTGGACTACTGATGATTAATTACCTACACACGTAATTATGCTATTTTGATTATAATTTGCGCTGTTAATATGTTTAACAAAATAATCACTTATGCGTTTGTGGACGAAACTCATTTTAAAGTATGACATGTGTTACACAACAGAAGTTTTAGATTTGTAGAAGAAAATGCATTGCACATAGAAGATTGTTCTTAGCTTAGTAAATGCAATCTTTGCCACACAACGTTCAAGCTGCTAGAATTTTCGTGTTGTGGACTAATCTCATGTGCATGGACCAAAACCTATTACTGCTCCATTATTTCCACAGTCTAATTTTACAATTGTTAACAGATCATACAGCCAGGCGCTTGGAGGTAACTGGTAAGTAAACCTACCACCAGAAGAATGTGTAGACCTTCGCATGTGCAGAAATATAAATAAAATTTAGCTGGAAGAGTTTATAAATGAAACATCAATCAAAACATGTCGTTTTTCTGCTGAAAATTAATGAATGCATTGTACTTCTTTGGCTTTATGCATTTTTGAAAATGATTGATAGATTTTTTCTATGCTTTTAGTGTAAAGTGCTATTCCCATAACGAACAACGCGATAATCTTGATAAGTCCCAAACATAGACAATGTAAATCAGAAAAACCCAAACATTTCCATAAGATTTTCAGTGTCAAAATCCTGTCATTCGATTTGATTAATATTTAAGAATTCATTAACATAATTCATCATTTATTGTATTATTATCATACATTTTTTTCCTTCAGTCTAATAGTTCTGAACCCTTTACTGCAATTTAGTGCAGAGTGTTGCTTTTGGTTTCAGCTGGCTTTGATTTTTTTTTAGCTCTAGAAGTCAAATGAGCAATGTTTTTATGTCCAACAAGAGTCTGTTCTTTTAATTTGTTGATTGGGGAACCACTTTTTAAAAATGTAAATTTGCAACATGGAATGAAGTCATACATATATGGCTTTCCTAATTTTCTATCTCCAATGGTCTGGTTTATAGGTATAGGTCTGTTGAAGAGACATTTTAATTATATATATAAGACGTTTAGAATATGTCATATAAACAATATGTGTGCATTGAAAGGTGCGTATGCATGTCTGATATATATCAGTCTGACATCTTCATTCTCATATCCGCTGCTGGCCAGGAATTTTTTTTGGGATGAAGAGATCATTTCAGAAATAATACATAATTATGTGACTCTTTTGCATATGTGAATTGATTGTTATAAAACAAGAGAGATGAAACCTGAGCAGCATCACATTTATTGCAAGAGAAAAAAAAACATTTGGGGTTTTCAACATTGTTTTTACATTCCGATATAGTTTGATATTTTTGAGTTATTTCATCTGGACAATTATAATTAAAGTTTTTGGAAGATAAATACAGATTGGCAGGCAAATATATTAATGTACATGGTGTGTAAGTTTGATACCACTATAAAGTTCAAATATCTGACATACCGTTCACGAATTCCTATTTATGCAATCTTTCTGATGAGATCTGGTTGGTCCTCTAAGATAATCGGATTTAAATGAAGACTGTGTTCTTGTATATTGTGGAGACATTAATTGTTATTGTTTTCATCTTTTGAATTCAATGCACTAACATAGTTAGCAAATGTTTGTTCTGTTCACTCTGTTGAAAGTAACAATCCGCATATGTTCAGTTCGTCCGCTAGGTAATGTTGATTCATCCGAGTTTGGTTTTTTCTTTTTCATAGAAACAAACTAGTATTACTGAGTGTTGGCAATGTTTCCGTCTTCTTGGATCGACAACATTTTAACTGCTATAAACATAACAGATAGAGGTGGGCACCTACCAATTTTACCACGACATCAGTAAATATGGGTTGATTTAGATATTGCAACAAAAAAGGTTTTTAGCGACTTTAAATATTCCTTTTACATTCTACTTTTAATATTTTTATTCAGTTTTACATTTTTTTATTTTGACTTGCATGTTCGAGAAAATGATTACAGATAACTAAGAATGAATATGCCTTGTTGATTCTTATGCGATTTGAAAACGTCATTAAAATTATTTGTCAGTATTCGTGATAAATCGGTTGTTAAAGCATTGTCATAATTTTAAATTGATGCGCAGCAACAAGTTTTTACTAAAAAACTATAAATACGACAATCGTTTTGAATCATTTCACAACATAGTATAATATTTATAGAATGAAAATGCATTGTGCTACGAATATATTTGCATTTCTTAGTTTATTAAACGGAATTATAGCAGCAAGACGTTCAAGCTGCTCTGATATCCGTGTCGTAGACCTATCTCATGTTCATGGACCGAAACCTCTCACGGCTCCATTCTTTCCACCATACAGTTAGTTTTAACATTGTAAACAGATCTTACAGCCCGATGCTTGGAGGTAATTGTGTTTACCTCAGTTTTAGTTTGTAACCCGGATTTGTTTTCTCTCAATCAATCTGTGACTTTCGAACAGCGGTATACTACTGTTGCCTTTTTTTTTTACTAAAGTTAAAGATGTTAAAGTTAATGTTTACTAAATTTTCTAATGAATCCAAATATTTGGTGTGTAGTTTGTCTAAATCTGTAGAATTTATACGAAAAACGGTATATCATATCATAATTGTTACGGTTATGCTGTTTAAAACGTTTTGGAATTGTGATATACTCAGTTTAAACTCATTAGTCAATGGGATAAACTTATTCTCAAAGGTTATCAACTTGACATCGATTTTCTGTTGGTTGTTTTATGTGTTCCGTGCCATTATGTTTGGCCATTTGGAACTCATTTGTGTAGTCTGTTCTTATATTGAGCTGTTCCAGGTGAGACGCGGATGAGGCGCTAACAATCATGTTTAACCACGCCATATTCTGTATTTGCCTGTCCAAAGTCATGAGACTGTTGTCCTTGGTTTGTGTAATTTTTTTTTCGTAATTATAATTGTTATAAATGAGACTGTTAGATTGTTCGTAAGAACTGTTCTCACATTTTTCTGTAGTTTCCTTTTATAGCTGAATATACGATATGTTAAAAATCGTGCGTGTTGTGACCAATAATTTCTTACGGCCGCTCCCCTTTCGTCAGGTAGTTTGAGAACCAAGGTACAAAAAGCCAACTGTATCAAACTTTTTTCAGCATCAAAACCTAAAAGGTCTTATCAGAACAGCCATAACTATCATATTAAGCAATTTTGTTAAATCTAGTTTTACCCTTTGTGGATTCTAATGATATAATTCGTTCAAAAATGGTACCCAATCCAAGACCATTTTTATTTATTACTTTCGTGTGTTTGCAGCATTGTTCAACACACACAAACTCAATGTGTATTTCCTGATGTCAATTAGATTTACTCATTTATTTAAGATATTCGCAAAACAAATACTCATTCTTCTTCAAGGGAATATCGAGGACAGGATGAAAATTGCAAAATCTGCATGAGTTGTAGAGTAAGTACCTCAAGTTATTTGTTATAGCAATGATTGATTTATATAACTGACAGACAACCTGATATAATTTAACTATGGCTTAAGTTCGTTAAGTAAACTTTTATACTTGGATAATTACACAAATTCCCCTAATAATTTGTTTCTCATCCTAAGAGTCGTGTGTTGCAGTACGGTCAACTTGACAGTACTTTGATATACACTATAAGTTCAATGTCTTTGTTTGATGTTGTTTTTTCTTCTATTTACATATTTTTGTTTAATGTATGTAAAAAGGGATGATATCCATGCAATGGAGACGAGAAAAGTAGTAGTTTAACCTGTGTCATGTAATTTTTGTAATCAATTCTAAACAACTACATGTATCATTGTTTTTAGATTAAGAAAATATAGCCGGAAGCGGTTGTTTGAATTTAAAACATCAATTAAACATGCACCTTTCTCAGCTACAAAAGGAAATATATAAGAGTACTTATGATTTTTTTCAATTGTCAAATTTAAATTGAATTCTTTAAAAAGTCTGAGACCTTGACATGTTAACACATTTATATCCTAATTTCGGTTTCGAATTTATCGCCTGAATGTTGAAACAAAATTTAATGAAATATAGTTTGTTGCAAATTTGTTACAAGGATTGCTTATCAGTCAGACATGCCATATAGCTTTGAACTAATTTTCACGCTCAAGTAGTCAGGGGAGTGTTCAGGTATAAGCCATTTGTTGGGTAACTATTTGCGACCGGTGACAAGTATTTGATATTTCTTTAATTCTGAGCTCATTTATACTTCCCCGAAAGTTTTTGATACCAGTTCTTCATTGGTATAAATAAAATTCTGAGTCATATTGTCTTGCTTTCTTCTAGTTTCCTGTTGTGTCAAGACAAAAACAACAATGCAATGATGATGACTCACAAAAAGAACACATTCCTCTTACAAATCATGGAAAAGTATGCCTGCATAAAAAAGATCATCAGAGAAATAGATTTTACACCGTATCAAATGCAATACCATATAAAAATTTCGAATCGTAAATTTATAAATTGAACTGTTGAGAGGAAAACTATGGTATCTAATTCGACGCAGTGGGAGAGCTTATATCTATTGTGAGCCGTATACGTCAGTCGGATATTAAATTATATCTTTGTCTTATTATCATTATTTAGTGGTAACATCATCTAGTTACAATATATGTATATTTTTTTGTTAAAGTTTACCAAGAAACATATTTACTTCCTAGAATTTTTAGTTCCTTGTGCGGTCTTAAGGGGGAAATTATTTTTTAATACATCCATGATATATATGTTATGAAGGTCATTCACGTTGTTATGTCATTAATTACGGGCGCTAATATACATGTACTATTTAAAACAATTAAAACAAGATACTATTTATATTCTACACAAGAGGATGTAAATTTCATACAATAAAAATGCATTGGACAGATAAGATCGTGTTTTTTGTTTCATATGTGAGTTTATTAAACGGGATTTATGCCGCAACACCTTCAAGCTGTTCTGATATTCGTGTAGTAGACCTATCTCATGTACATGGACCCAAACCTCTCACTGCTCCATTCTTTCCAGCATACAGTTTTGAAATTGTAAACAGATCTATCAGCCAGGCACTTGGGGGTAATTGGTAAGTTACACATGTTATTAAGGAAATACGCTCCTTTGTGAAAATTTAACAAGGTTTCTAAAAGACTGTTTTAAAATGATAGTTTTACATTAGAGGTCAGCGTTCAAAGTTTTGAATGGTTTAACATGACAAAACCTAGATAATTCCGAATATCCGACAACAAGACAAAAACCAGAGTAACAAACATTCTTAAAATAATGTGCATTTCTAAGGATTTTTTGGGGTGTAATATGAGTGCAATATTCATCTTAATTATTTTTAAAGGTTTCATAGATGACTTTGAAGGTGCTTTGTAGGTAAACAATTTAACGAAATATTAATATGGGTTATCAGTTTGTGAAATCAATGCACTCTTAGAGTAATAATTAACTAAATTTTCAGTAAAATCTCAATAGAAAAATTGAACATATAAGCAACTCAAGTTGACAAATATCATGATCAACAGGTTAGTTCTATGAAAATATCAGGGAAAAGGCCGAGTGAAATTTACCGAATGGACATGACATGAAGTTACAGAAGACAAATTTATGAAAAGGACGTATACAAATTTATTAAAATTACCAGATGCATACAGAGTTGGTAAACACAACTTTTCTTTTCACTAACATTTTAAAGTCATACATATCTTACAAGAAGACGTTTGGGCTTATTACTATTAGAAATCAAAACCGATAAAAACGAAGATGTTTTATGGCTGCAAATGAGAAAATTATCTACCAAAGATGACATTCCGCGTATTCAAATGGGCAAAACCCATATCGCATTGTAAACTATAAAAGGTGCATATTACCAACATGTAAAGCAATTCAAAAGTTTATGGTTTAATTAGATAAATAGACGTTGTTTTCATTGTCATCATCTGTTTGCAAAATTATATGCGATAACTACAGATTATACAAAGATATATTCTAAAGGTGTGGCATAACAGTTAACAAAATTGACAAATATATTTTTACTATTGAAAAATTATCTCACTGTAATCAATTTCAGAAAAAATATTTTGATTGGCCTGGTAATTTTGCTTCTAAGTATGTTCGTTTTTTAATTAATATATTTTTCATCCATATAGGTTTGAGACTAACTATATTGGTACATCTGAACACAGTGGAACCCACATAGATGCTCCTTCTCACTTCTACAGAAACAGAAAACGCATGCACGAGATTCCACTGGACAAGTTATATGGGCCTGGAGTTATAATAGATATTAGGAGACAGGTTTCGGGAAACGTGAATTACAGAGTAAAAGTATCGGACATAAAACGATGGGAGGCAACTCATGGCCGAATACCGAAGGGGGCAGTCATTCTGTTTAATTCCGGCTGGTCTAGTAGATACCCAGATCCATTTACAGTGTTCAATACTCAAAACACTTCTGATGTTTCATCATACCAATTTCCATCCTATGAATTCAAAGCAATTACATTTTTAGCGAAATTTCGTTCTGTTAACATTGTGGGAAGTGACACTCCGTCTATTGGCGACTCACCTCCGGGTAAAGTTGATTTGTCAAATTTTACATTTCTATTTCAAAGAAACATACCTGTGGTGTTGAATGTTGCCAATCTTGACAGACTCCCTCTTTCAGGATCGACAATATTTGTCCCTGCTATCAACATATACGATGGAAGTGGTGCACCGGCCAGAATTTTTGCAACAGTTCCAGCGTCAAAAATGAAAAATATATATTAAATAAAACGTAATGATTAACATTAAAATTTTGTACAATGTTTAACATTTAAAATCGTTTCCTTTTGTTGACTTAATTTGCCATTAAAACTTTTTTTATTTCTAAGTTTTTGATGGTGGTGTTTTTTTTTTGCTTTTTTACGGCGTGTACATTTCAAAACTTGTTCGTGATTGACGCGTTTGTGTTGACGTCGAAGATTTCAATTAGCGAAATTTATGTATAATTGGTAAATCATTAATTCACGGACTTCATTTCCACAAATTTAGAAAAACTTTACTCAATTTTCTAAAATATCCAAAAATTTGGTTTGTAATTTGTCTAAATCTGTAGAATTCATACGAAAAACGGAATGTCATATCATAATTTCTACGGGTATGTCGTTTTAACAGCATTTTATTTGAGAAGAGAAACGATCAATTTAAACTTATTGATCAATGGAATACAATACACTTATTCTAAAAGGTTATCAACTCAATACCGATTTTCTGTTGGATGCTTTTGTGTGTTTCCTGCTGATATGTTGAGCTTGGCCATTTGGAACTAATTTGATCATGTCTTAAATATGTTGAGGTGTCCCAGATGAGACGCAGATGAAGCGCTCACAATCATGTTTAACCCCACCCATATTCATTATGTGCCTGTCCAAAGTCAGAAGACTTCGTTGCTTGTCCTTGGTTTGTGTCTGTCATTTATTTTCGTAAATATAATTGATATAAATTAGGCTGTTAGATTGCTTCGTAAGAATTGTTTTCAAATTTTTCTTATCGTTACCTTTTATAGCTGAATATACCTGCATATGGTGACCTTCAATTGCTTACGGTTTCTTCCATTTCATCAGGTTTGTTTGAGAACAAAGGTAACAAAAGCCAAATATTTTAAACATTTTTAAGAGCTTGATCACATAAAAAGCATTATCAGAACAGCCACAATTATCTTGAAGTTTGTTTATAACATTCCCGATGTCCAATAGATTTACTCTGATATGTATATATGCATATTCGGAAAACAAATCCGCATTCTGCATCAAGGGAATATTACGGACAGCAGAAAACTGCAAAATCTACAAGAATTGCAGATTCTCGAGTGATGAGTTATTTGTGTCTCTACATAGCTTTAATTTTATGCAAAATCATTGACCTAATTTTGGGCGAATTCAAATCAGGACTATAATATAACCGGCAAGTGAAGTAGACTAGGTTTATTCGCAGTAACTTAATATTTTCAAAGGGATGATAAAAGGATTGAAGACAAACATATCATTACAAAACATGGTATTGGCTTTCAAAACAATTGAGAATGTCAAAGAGACAACAACCCGACAAAGACTTAGAGCAGATAACAGCTGAAGGCCACCAATGTGTCTTCAACACAGCAAGAAAATCTCCCACCCGGAGTCGGGCGTCAGCTAGACTCTAGATAAAATTGTGTACTTGCTCAGTGAAAATGGACGTCATCCAAAACTCCTAAAAATATACTTGAAGTTAAATAAAAAAAACATGAAAATGCCAATGTTCATTAGATTCAAAGTATTTGATTTAAATTCTGTTTCATAAGAATGATTAAAAACATTGATTTATAGAAGTATTTCCCTTATCGTATTGTTCTCTCAACAAAAAGTAAATTCACAAAAATACAGAACTCCGAGGAAAATTAAAAAAAAAAGGTGTCTCTAATCAAATGGCAAAATTAAAATCTCAAACACATCACACGAATCTATAACAACTGTCATATTCATGACTTGGTACAGGAATTTTCTTATGTAGAAAATGTTGGATTGAACCTGGTTTTATAGCTAGCTAAACCTTTCACTTGAATGAGAGTTGCATCAAATTCCATTATAATGATAACGATGGGCGAACAAAACAAACAGACATAATAGATAAAACTGTTAAAAAAGGGGTACAACAGTCAACATTGTGTTATAATCTTAATCATTATAAAAAACAAGCAAATATGTAAAAAAGAACAAAACATTCTAATGAGAAAATGTCAACAAAAGTTACATTCTAAAACCGATTGGCGAAATGATATTGTTAAATAGGCAGAAAAGTATATAAAAATACCAAACTCCTAAGGAAAATCATTTTATCTACTTCTCGACTGGAAATAAGTTTAAGTAATTTATGAGGCAAGTCATTTACCTCTTTTGTCATGGATCTTTCCCACAATTGCTAAAGAATTACAATAAGTGAATATATACAAAGTAGCTGCATCTAATAAAACTAATCTTTTTAATATTAACTGCAAATGACACCATTATATGAATATCATAGAGAATAAAGACACTATCTATACAACCGAACTAAATTGTTATAATAAGATACAAATTTCAAGATAATTGCAGTTTATTGTTACAGGGAATATAACAGAGTGTAGTTCACGTTTATAAAGATAGACTATTATTAGTTGTTTGGGTAAACTGTTTTAACATGTTTAACCGAGTGCTTAAATAAATGTTCTAACGATTTCCATATTTTGAAACAAAATGTGGCTGTAGGCAAGGTTATGGCACTATAGATACATTATTTATATAACATTTTCTGTTTGAACTTCTGAAGAAAAAAGAAAGAAGAAAACTCTATAGTGCATTTTTAGACTTTGAAAAAGCTTTTGACCAAATTTGGAGGGATGGGTACATTACTTTAAAATATGACATTCAGTAAGCATTGACAATGTGTTTCACACCTTATATGACATCTTCAGTTTCACATAAAGATAAAACCTTAAGAATAGAAAGTAAAAAAATAGATTAATGACAAAACATTCAATATAGATAACGACGAATCTGTATCACGAAGAACAAATAAAAGAGAAAAATTTATTCACGTTTAATCATCCTCCGTCGAAAAAAAACCCCACACAGACATCTAAGCTCAATTAAACATCTGCATAGTATAGAACCATTCTGATTCTACAATACCAGCAATCGATATAACTGTACGCTCTTAAAAAAAGAGGATAATGATACAGGGACTCGTCATTGTATCAAATTTGATGTACGGAAATGTTTTTTTACCTTGAGACCGACACAAATATTCTATAATTAGTTCAGATAACAATTAAAGAGTCAGTAATCAGTTTCACAATATGTTTTTACTTAAACTGATCGCAAGTCTTACACAATTCAGTATGTTTACCATTAAATTTAGGCGTACCATTTTGCTTCTGCAAAACTCAATCATTGTCTCTACAAAATGTACACCAGAAACTCTGGTAGTAATTGCTTCCTATTTAGCAATTAGAATATGTTTTATGATTGTCAATAAGAAAACTCTCCACAACAGACCATATGACATAGAAGTTAACAACTATGTGCCACCGTACGGCCTACAACAATGAGCAAAACCATATCGCATAATCAGCGATAAAAGTCCCCGAAAAGGAATATGTATAACAATTCAATGGGAAAACTAGTATCACATATAAACTTTGAAGTACTACACGTGTTTATCCTGTTATTGCAATGGTTGATTTATGTAACGGACAGACAACCTCATAAACCTGATGTAATTCAACTATGATTAAAGTCGTTTAGTATAATTGCAAAGATGGATTATTACACAAGTTCCCCTAATATTGTGTTCCTCATTCTATGCGTCGTTTGTTTGTAGTACGGTCAGCTTAACTACCTGGTACATGTGTCCTCGAGATGACAGTACTTTGATGTACACTATAAGTTCAATGTCAATGTTTTTTGTTTCTTTTCTATATACATATTTATTAGTTTACGTATGTAAAGAGAGATGAAATTCATAAAACGGAGACGACACTTCATAATACAAGTAGTAGTTTAACCTGTGTCATGTAACTGTTGTAATCAATTTCAAACAGCTACACGTGTTAAGTGTGTGAAAATATAGCCTGAAGTTTAAATTTAAAACATGATTCATCAATCAAAAATGAACCTTTTTTTAGCTACAAAATAAAATATAAAAACATACTTTTTCATTAATCTTACTAAACAGGCTAAAGCTGATTTCTTTTATTGATCTTTATTTCAAGAATTACCAAAGAAAAATATTTGGTCATTTTTATAAACTTTCTGTTTCGAGCTAAATATTCTTCCTAGGCAAAGATTAAACCATAGCAAAACGTTTTGAAATTTTTGTGCCTAAATGCTCTTTAATTTTGTCTAAACTGAAAAACGTCTGATATCTTTAATGAGTTTTGACATTATTAGTAATTTATCACTTACAATAAAGACAATTTTAAACAAACAAAGCGTAACATTTCCGTATGATTTTCAATTCAAATAGTCAGAAATAATATGATTAAAATAACAATTCTTTAATTGTTTTCCATTTGTTGCGTCAATGATATACGTAATCATCATTATTATAATATATTTCAATTATCAAATCTAAATTGAAGTCCCTTAAAAAATTCCGAAAAATTTACAAATATTTAGTCCCGAATTCGTTTTCCGAATCTATCACCTGATTGTTGAAAGCAAAAATTACAGAAATATATTTTGTTTCAAGTTTGATAGAACGATTGCATATCAGTCAGACATGCCATATGTCTTTGACCTAATTTTCACGCTTTAATGGTCAGGTGAAGTATTCAGAAATAATTTGATATATGCGTTTCTATCATTCTAATTTATACTTTCCCCGAGAGATTTTGAAATTAGTTCATTATGGGTCTAAATACAATTCAGACGTCATATTATCTTGGTTTCATCTGGTTTTCCATTGTATCCAGACAAAAAAGCGACAATGCACAAAGACAACCCACAAAAGAGACACTATCCTGTTGTAAATCATTCAAAAGTGTGCCTCTATGTAAAAATCGTAAAAGATGACACACTCTAGAGCCAATGCAAAAGAAAAATATTGTAACTTACTCGACGCAGTAAAAAGTTATCGAAGGTACCAGGCTTATAATTTAATACGCCAGACTCATTGTCATTATCTAGTGGTAGCATAATCCTGTTATAATGTATATAGGTTTCATAGTTTCCTAATAAGCATATTCACTTCCTAGAACTACTTTCTTGTGCAGTCTTTAGGGGAAATTATATTTTTGATATATCCGTGATATATGTGTTTTACAGGTCATGTAATTAATTACCGATATTAATCAACATGTACTACTTAA